AAGGTTTGGGGCTATTTCCGTGAACCCCCTAATTCTTGACTCCTAAATCCTAAACCCAGCCCTAAACCCTAAACCCTATACCCAAAACCCTAAACCCTGAACCCAGCCCGTCTCGGGGCTGTACACCTTTCTTCGTCGCTTGAACTGCCTCCATTGACGTGGCGAGGCCGCTTCCATGGGCTGAAGCTTCGGGCTTGGGGTTTAGGGTTTAGGGTTTGGAGTTCAGGGTTTAGGGTTTAGGGTCTTAAGGTTTTAAGGGTTTAGGATTTAGGGTTTTAAGGGTTTAGGATTTAGGGTTTAGGGTCTATGTAGGGGCCTGAACAACTGGAATGGGGCTTAGGGGGCCCATTGTAGTATAATTATACTAAGGACCCCCCCCCCAAATAGTATTGGTAATTGTTTAGGCTCCTATACTAGGCTTTGTGCTGAGGGCTTGGAGGTTGCTGTTCAAGGCCAGCAAGCATTTACGGCGCGCGGCTTCGAGTCTATACGGCTTTTTCGTACCGGGACTTGTCGCTTAGGGTGCGGCTCCGGACTTGATGTCTAGAATCTGGAGTTTCTTGTTCCGATGCACCAGCTTGCAGATTTCCGGTGCATCCATCTCAAAAACATGCATGGCGATCGCACTTACCACTTCCAAACCTCACACCCACAGCTTCAAACGAAAACAACGCATACTCGGTCATCTAAGAATCGCCACAGAAAGATTCCCAACACCGTGTCACCCCATAAGAACCACATAGACCCCCATACAACCCAATCATAAAGCGAGCCTCCATAATCATGTCCCGAGACCCAATGAGCTGACAGAAACCCGCAAAAGCACCACGAATGCTTCGAGGCTCAGGCAAATCCGCAGTTCTGTCCAGATGGCGGCATGGCCGCGCCTTCTGATTCTGCCCGAAGGAACTTCTCTTCAAGCGTAGGGCTTCAGGTTTAGAGGAGCTTCTCTGAAAGGCTTAGGATTCAGGGCTTCGAAGGGTAAACCGCAGCTCTCTTCAAGTTTAGGGCCTTGGGCCTTGGAGTTTCGGGATCAATGCAAGACTATTGGAGGCTAGTAATACGAATAGTACCAATAATGCAGGTGGTACGAATGATACCAAAAAAAGCTAAGAATACGAACGAAGCTAATGACACTAATTAATACTAATGCTGATCGTACGAACTGCGCCAACTCCGAGACTCAAGCTCCCAGACTCGTCTAGGTCTTCGGGGGACTACTGTCTAAAGACTTCCAATTCTCGGCAACAAACTTCGATGACACACTAAAATCCTAAATCCCAAACCCCAAACCCTAACGCCGAACAACTTCGTCAAGACAACGCCTTGATCAAGATGAAGCCGAAGCTAAGGATTGAAGGCCACATTGCAAGGGAGCCTCCGCCACGTCCTCTTGCCGGAGCTTCGGATCACACCATGATGGTCGGCTGCTGGGATCCAGCGGTGAGGCTTCGGGTTTAGGGCTTCGGGTTCAGGGAGGAGGGTTTAGGATCTAGGGTTGCGGGGTTTAGGGTTTAGGGTTTAGGGGAGGCCAAACACAGGGCCACTGTCCGTGCTTTGGAGGTGCTGGGTCTGAGGGCGCTGGGTCGGAGGCCTTGAGACCGGCTTCCAAGGTTTCGGGCCTAAACAACGGCTGCTGAGTAGCTACTCGCTCTTCCGTGGATTCTCCGAGTTTCTGCGGGCCGTGCGTTCGCAGTGGGGGGCGGTGGGGCGTTAAGGCCAGGTATGATTGATTCGAGAGATCTGCAGCAGGATTTCGCAGCCATTTCACGACAATCAATGCCTGGATCATCGTGAACGATGGAGTGCGACTCAACATGTTGCCAGAGGTGTGAGCTCGATGCAGGAGCAATGTGATGCATCTCGGAAAAGAGCAGCAATACAGCAATCAATTCTGCTCTCAGTGATAGTTGCTGTTTGGCTCCTTAGGATGTCCGGTATAGCTTAGAGGTGCGAACATGAGACTATAGCCCTTGCAGTGGCAAAACCCGCTTCCTCTGTACTAGGCGTTCAAGCTTCGTACCTGCAACAACCTAGGATGGGTACGTCTTTGTTCTATGTCCCGATTCCGCCAACCACGGGGATTGCATGAAAAGCCTCCATTCGTCAGGAAGACTAAACCCTCAACCCCTAAACCCTAAACCCCTAAGCCCGAAACCCTAAACCCCTGAACCCCGAAACCCTAAACCCCTAAGCCTTACTCTTGACGTGTAGGACTTCGTTGAAAACAGCACGGGACAGTGTGCTCGAAATCTTCCACACTCAGACCTTTCGCCCCCTACATGCTACGTGCATCTCTACTACAATATATACATTTATCATCATACAAACATATACCACATTACCTATACTACAATACCTTGTATTTTGATAATGTACTACAGCTTAGAGTATACTACCTAAACACGAAGACCTAAACCCAATTCCCTTATAGTACCCAAAAAACACGCATGCAGTACCCTATATAGAACCCTTACGCTACCCTTATAATTATAGAGCCCTGTACAACTCTTCTGGTAACCCCTATGGTGCCCTATTATATAGGGTTGAGGTTGCATCCGCTGACAAAGGCGAGGCTTTTGTCCTGTCGCATATGTCGAGCACGGGGTCTAGCAGGACTGTGTAGCTGTCTGGGCCACCGCTGATCGACCCGACTAAAAGTATGATTTTATACATTTATCTGCAAGGGGATACGACCCAGACCCTAGAAGGTAGTACTTGTTTTCGGACAACCTACGAGCCCCTGTAGCATACGAAAGCCCAGCGCCAAACCGTCTCATTCCGTGAATTATACGGTCGCACATAATACCTACACTATCCCAATTTTTTAACCTCAGACTTCGCGGAATCGGGGGTCTGTGGATGTCAAGCTAACAGTATAATGGGATGAATTGGCTACGTCACGGCTAGCCTGCTTCCCGTGTCAAGAAGTACGGGATCTGAGAGAGCTACGCTGTCGCCACAAGTTTGCAGCAGGCCGTAACTACAGGCTTTTGGGTTGAGGCCGCGAGGGAAACGCTTTATGGGTGGAGGCCCCTGTGCATTACGTCGTCGCTACAGCCCACTACCGAAAGCGGAAGCTGGGAAGTGAAGGCTGAAGTCGTGATCCACGATACGGCAAAGAGGTCGGACAGCTGGTTCTATCAAGGGGCTCTTAAGGTTTAGGGCTTAGGGTTTTATTTCCAGGATTTGGAATCTCGAGTCCGCAACCATCACTACACCTGAACTCCACCCCCTTCGTGAATCCGTGCTACTGCTACATGTCTGTCCAGCCCACTTCTTCCAAAAGTCCTCGGTGTACTAGAGCCCAGACAGCCCAACACAAGATGCTGCGGCTTTATGCTGGAGAACTGCTTCAGGAACTACCCCGCAAGCTCGTCGCCTGAGGTCCGAAAGCCTGTTCTTCGGAATGGTCCGTACGTGTCTCTGCTGTTCCCCAAGGACATCCCTGGTTGTGGGGCCCTAAACCCTTAACCCTAAACCCTAAACCCCTGTTACAAGGTGCCCAGTGGCACTTGGAGGTCGCTGTCGCAGTGTGACATGCTCGGGGTGGCAAGAGTGGCAATGGTGGTGAGGCTGGAATTTAGACTTACTCGCTTCGAAAGCGATACTGGGAAAACGAGAAAACGGGGAGAGAGATAATCAACGAACCAACATGAATGAGTGTGTATATATATATATATATGTCTCTGTGTGTGTGCATTAGCATGTAAACTTTTGCTTAGACTCCTGTATATACCTAGAGAGACAGAGAGAGATAGAGAGAGAGAGAGAGTGACAGACTTGTTGCAATCTCTGCTGCGTCCGAGCTTGAGCACAGGTCGCTCCCAGAAGTCTTATGTCTCCAGGCCGAGTGCACATAAGTCTAAGTGGTGCTGTGAAGTCTTGGGGTGTGATTCAAACTACTCAAAATCCTAGTCCCATAGAGTTGTACACTTCATACACGATGTGTATGGTTCCTTCATGTTGTAGCTTTCGACAGCTCGGTATAGTAATACCCCATAGAGGGCTTACAGAACATATTCGGTTTCTATTATAATGCCCCAAACGGGGGTTTCAGAAAATAGGGGACCCTAATAGAGTACGATACCTGCCCCTCAGACTTCACCAGCTTGAAATCCTCTGAAAGGTCCCAGGCTGCGCGCCCGGAGCGAAAACAAACGAACACACGTGGCCCTCTTGGAGGTATGGCCTCATTCGTGACACCTTCAAAGCTCAGGATTTCGGTGGTCGGCTTTGGTCACGGTTGGCTTATGCGTTAGTGTATTGTACCAAACCTGGACCGTTTCAGGTTTGAAGTTGAGGAGTTAAGGTGCAGGCTTCGGGTTCTGCTAGGCTTCGGATTTCGGGCTTTCAAAACTCTGGGGGCCTATGGCCTATGGCGAACACCTCAATGCTTCAAATCTTCGCGGGATGGACGCCACGTTCCGCCGTGAGCTTTTCTAGCTTGGGTTGCTCTCGGCTGCAAATGCTAGTGGAACCCTATGAGCCCTATACTCCAACCCCAAACCCCGAACCCTGTTTCAGGTTCAGGCTTCCTCATTTCAGCAATGCCCCGAGGATCCACGACTTCCGACTTCCCCACGCTTTTTGGGCTGGGGCTTTTTAACCGGGGCAGTTGGAATCTGGAATCTAGGAAGCCACAACTCCTTCGGAAGGGTGGCAGGATGTCGAGCTTGATGAGAGTTCAACATTCCTAAGCCCTAAACCCCAAATCGTAGATTCACGACTTGCAGTACTCACAGTGTTTATCACCTCGCGGCCTCCGGGGAGTTCAAGATCTCAGGCGACACATACGCAGAGCCAAACAAAGCGTTATGCTAATGTACCAAAAGCCATGAAAGCAAAGTCCCACCTGCAAAGTCTGACGGCACGAAGGCTGAGCCCCGAGGCACTGTGGCAGAAGTCTCTCAACATAGCATCCAGCCCAAACTTCCCATCCTCAAAGCCACGACACCTCAGCCCAAATCCCGAGTCATCATACTCTCTTCCCCCTGGCCTCAGCCGGCAGCGCCGTCATCCTCTGCCTGCCAGACTTTGGTGTTTCTGATCCGAGGAGTTTGGATGCAAGCACAGATGCACAAAGCCCTCACAACCACAAAGTCAAGGCATCCGTGCCTGCTGGGACGTTTTTGCATGGTGGAAGGCGCGGAAGCAAGCAGCAAGTCTGACAACTACGGCAATTTCTAGTTCCAACGCCAGTCAAGTGTTGGTCATCCCTGCAACGCTAAACGGGCATTCCTCGGAGGGGAATCTCGGACAAAACTAGGAGACACAACTGAGACAACAATCAAAGAAAGGGCTAAAGTCTGAATCGCACTGCCTCGGTCGACTTGTTTGGGTTCTTCAAACGACCCTGACCCTTAACCCTACACCCTGAATCCTACACCCTACACCACCCTAAACCCTACACCCCAAACCCTAAAACCCTACACCCGACGCCCTAAAAACCCTACACCTTAAGCCGTGTTTCGCCGAGTCCACCTTAGCGGTGTCCGTCGGTGCGCCGCCTTCGGGCTGGTAGGCGTTGGACCTGGCGGTCCAAGCTTTAGGATTTAAGGGTCCACAAGGATTACTTAGGGTGTAGGGTTTAGGGGTTCAGGAATGAAGGTTACTATCAGGGGTATCTTTATGCAAAGGGCATGGGATCTCAGAAAGGTGTGGGGTCCAAGCTTTAGGGTTGCTAACTAGAAGGACTAGTCTGTTATCAAGTATTTCCATGAAGGTTAATGTCAGGGTCACATTTGTTTAAGAGCAGTTTCAGGATCTATACCTAGGAACTCAGCAACGCTGGAGTAGACGGAGTCGTAGCAAAGCTAGCAGTCGTCGTCGTGGTGGTCGTAGCCGTCGTGGTAGGTGTGCACATGGGAGAAGTAGTGGTAGTAGTAGTAGGAGTAGTAGGGGTAGTAGTAGTAGTAGTAGTAGTAGTAGCAGCAGCAGCAGCAGCAGCAGCAGTGGCAGTGGGAGGAGCGAAAAAAGAAGCAGTAGGAGTAGGAGTGGGAGCCCTAAACCCTAAACCCTAAACTGGAGCTGGAGGAGGAGAAGGAGGAGTTCGGTATCGATCATCTTGACTGCACCGTAAGCAGCTTCCGCGCAGCTTTTGAAGAAGCAGCAAGCCTTCATCTACTATAGGAGCCTTAATAATTAGAATAGGGTTTTGGGGCTATAGTGTAATTAGAATAGGGAAGCCCCCAAAATAGTACAGGTAATTATTCAGGAGGCTTCGAAGGGCACATCCACAACCCAAATCCTCTGAACTCCGCCGTCTTCGACCCCAAAGCCCTCACCCCCTCCCCCCCAAAACCTAAGGTTTAGGGTTTAGGGTTTAGGGTCTAGGGGTTTAGGGCTCAGGGTCGGCCACATCACGACAACGCTCATGAATATATAGATCCATACCACTTTGTTTCTGGCAAGCATCCTTATATGACTCAGAAGAACAGGCCGACACGATCAACAACCGCAAGACGCGACTCAGAAATCACTTGACTTAACCTCTCGTCCCTAAGCCCTAAACCCTAAACCCCCAGCCCTCAAAGCCTAAACCCCAAAAGCCTACTAACCCCCAAGCGCTCAAACCCTAAACTCCCCAAACCCCGAAACTCTGAGCCATCGTTGAAGACTTCGGCAAGGGAATCTCTGCCGGCGGTACTTGTGCTTGGGCACGAAAGAAAAGCCGTCAGGGACCTCCGGACCGACGCTACAACATTAACATTAGCATTAACAATGATGGGGTTTAGGGCTTAGGGGTTTAGGGTTTTTTGTTTAAGGTTTAGGGTTTAGGTTTTTTTGTTTAAGGTTTAGGGTTTAGGTTTTTTGTTTAAGGTTTAGGGTTTAGGGGCTTAGGGCATAGGGTTGTGGCCCTTAGAAGTCTGGGATCTTGAACCAGGGGTTTCATTCACACTGGGTAAGGTCGTTGCTTTTGAGTTGCTCGGGGGGGGGGGGGTCCGCGGGGTGGTTGAGAAGCAAAGGTAGGCTCATAAGCCACCGTTCAGCTGCTCTCATCGTTCGGGGACGAACTTTGTCTCAAGGTTGGAGGTGTAGAGCTTTGGATTGCAAGGTTCAGTGCTCGAAATAGCTCAAACGTCTTACAAAGTGCATCCACCTTCGGCAACCGTCGCCATGGTAGTCTTAGAATTAGAAAATACCGTACCCGGAAACACACCAAAGACGAGGAGGCAGTCAAGTAGACGTCCATGTCGTTCCTGCGGGCAATTATTTGACTCCGCGGCCCGGCAACAAGGTACCTTATCTGTACCAGGCGAAACCGACACCTTCACTTCCGAAAATAGGGTTTAGGGTTTCGGGTCTAGGGTCGTCAACCCGACATCCAAAGCCCTTGCTGGCGCCACACGGTGCAGACAACAAGGCCTTGCCCAACATCATCTCTGTGATCTCGACCCAGTCCTCGCTTTGGCCAGAAACCACAAAAAGACCTTTTCCCGGCGCGAAAGGCTGCAGAACAGAAGCACCGGCTACCCCACACCGTCGAATTCCCCGAACGTTGACGGAAGCTCCGAATTATGGACTGTAGGGTTCAGGTCCGAGGTGTCTTCGTTTTGGGGTTCCGGGGTGGTTTGTGCTTGAAACTCCGGATTCGTGACTGGATCCCAGAGTCCCTAAACCCTAAACCCTGATCCCAGAGCCTCAGCAAGAGCTCTTCTCCACTTGCAAACCCCAGTGTCGCCATTTTCTCTCCCAGGCTGCGAACCCAGAATCAGGGTTGATGGGGTTTAGGGAGACTCTCCAGAAACGTTGATCTAACTCAAACAGAACTTGAGGCACAAAGAGGGGTTTCCGGAAACCATAAACCGCCCCTACATAACCCCTACCCTAAGCCTGAACCCTTTGCCGCCGTAAGCCCAAACCCCCAAACCGTGCTAAACTCCTAAACCCTATACAGAACCTTCAAAGGAACCCTTGAAGGATATCTTCAAGGAGCCTAAACCCTGAAACCCAATACCTAAAATCCTAAACCCTTTAAACGACCGCAATTCCTAAACCCGGAAGCGCAAAGCCCCAAAATCCGCAACCCCCCAAACCATAAACCCCAGTAGGCATCCTTATAGCAACCTTAAAGGAACCCCTTAAACCCCAAAACCCTAGACCTTAAACCCTAAACCGTGGCCTTAAACCTAAAGGCTCAAAGAGGAGTCCTTGGAGTTCGTGGAGGCCATCTTCGTCTCGAGGTCACTCCGTCCGACGTAGGGTCGGGGTCGCCAGTTGATCTTCGCTTGCTGCACCTCAAAGGCTACCCTAAACTCTATGCACCTCACAGGCTTTGTTGGGAAAACTTGTATGGCCTTATAGGGTAGGAGGTGTTTGCAGGGTTCTCGGATTTGAGGTCTGTAGTAGTTGTCTATGTCTGCTTTGCACGGTTTCAGGGTCCTGGGTAGGCTTCTAAGGGATTCAGGTTGATCTTTGCTTGCATCTTTTTTAGGGTTTAGGGCCAGGTTAGGGTCGAACAGGTGTGGGAAGCTTGATTTTCGTCTTGAGGGTACAGGAACTACCCGGCTCTCTTCTTCGCAGGCTCTTCGCAGGCTGCAAGTTGTCACAGCCGGCCGTGCAACCCTCATATCCTGCGGGTTCGGGGGTTCTATCTCGAAGCGGTTTTGGGTTTAAAGTTCAAGCGCCTGTAAGCGCTTGAGAGCCGCGGTTCAGAAACTGCCCTGTCGACAGTTTGCCGAGAGCCGTCACCTTGGACCGCTCCAAGAGAAAGTAAGTCTCGCTCAGCTGAGCTTCTCGAAGAACAGTCTTCGGCATTACTACGAATATACTTGCAGAGAGTTGTGATAGTCTTTTGCACCAAAGATCCTGTACTCGGCATGTTCTTTGCCACAATCTGTTGCGGCTTGAGGGGCCGGAACATGTTGTACTACGGTGACGCGGGGAATATACTCGACATGCTTTGTCAGCTTGGCTGAGTCTCTGAATTTGGTACTCTCAAACTCTACATGCCTGGACAAAATGAAGCTTGCCGAGGCTCCATGCTAAAAGGAAGAAGGGTTTGAACATCTGCCAAGCTCAATGTCTTCAACACCCTCGACGCTCTTATATCCCCCAGGCCCCTCCCTGTCATAGGCGAAATCCGGATCTTTCGAGGAGTCTGGAATGTACGACCGTCTTTTTTAAAGGTAGTGACCCTTTCCTCCGGGCTTAGGCTCTTTCGGTTTGGGGTCTGGGGTTTATAGGCTTCTAAATGTAGAGTTCGGGGTTTTAGGTCTTGGACCCCTTTGGATACCCTACAAAAAATGTTACGGAGAAGGGTGGCAAAGGGAGCCCAAGATCAACAATCCCCAAGAGGGTACCCCAACACCCTAATCCCTCAAACCAAACCGCAAAGCAGTGGCCCTACAATATCCCTCAGCCCAAAAACCCCCCCAAGCCAGCTAAACGCCAAGAACCACCAAGAATTAGAAACCTGTACACCCCCCCCCCCACACAAAAGGGGGAAAAAAAACAAACGGCCGAGCTAACAACAGAATCTGGGAACCTCGAGGAGGCCGATGGGGACATAGCGGCAGGTGAAGGACCTCGGCTGCTTTGATTAAGGGTAGAGATTAGGCTTTAGGGGTTTAGGGTTTAGGGGTTATAGGGGTTAGGGTTTATAGGGCTTATAGGGCTTATAGGGTTTATAGGGTTTATAGGGCTTATAGGGTTTAGGGGTCAGGGCTTCAGGGTAGTTCAGCGGATATCAAGCACAGTGTAGCTCTATAGGAACTAGAAGGGGGTTGCGTTGCCCATCGTGTTTCTGTGAGGGTGTACTCTTTGGGGGTTTAAGCTTTAGTGTCTTGGACTTGGAACCAAATCGACTAAGGACAGCACGCAATCATATACTATCTGTATCTATGAGTGCATGTGTCTTTATGTCTACATACATACGTACGAATAGACAGAGAGAGACAGAGAGAGAGAGAGAGGGGGACAGAAACAGAGCGAGAAAGAGACATATATTAAGATAGGTCTGCTTTTGGAATCAAGTAAGTGGCCACCTAGCTCAGCCAGAACCACGATTCGTCGGGGCTTGGGACTGAGGGTTCAGGAAGTTCGGGGCTTGGGGGTCGCACGAAAAGAAGGAGAAGGATCTTCATTCATAGCAACTTTCAAGCCCGTGAGAACTCTACAAGCTGATACCCCGAACCCCCAATCGTAGTTCCCAAGTAGTAAACGACCAAAGCCTTACAAGCCTCCGTAAAATGGGAATAAGCCCTGCACCCACACCCTCGCACGCAAAACTCCCCCGTGAGTCCCCGAAACCATAAAGCCGTAAAGTCTGGATCCAAAACCCTACACCCTTCACGCCAAAGCCCTGCATCCATGACCCTAAAAGCTACAAATTGCAACACCCCAACCTTGGTGGCAGCCTGGTTGCAGCCATTCCAACAGAAAGCGCCGTGTGGTTTCCACGCCGCGGGCGTCGGACCCCCAGTGCTCCAGACCGTAGTTCCTGTGAAAGAGGTTCAGGGTTCAGGGATTTCGGATTCATTCTGAAAGGTGGCTCTTATTGAGGTCTCTGTATGTGCATGCATATATATATATATATATATATTTATTTATTTGGTTATACTATATTATATATAGATTTAGTTCGAGGGCTTATATAAGTGCCTTGAGGGTTTGTATTGTGGCGGGTTCGAGGGTTTGAGGCGAAGCAGTCGTAGGTTTCAGAGCTCCGCTTTCTTGCCGGTGCAAGATTTTGCTTCATGACATGAGGGCCCAGGGCTTGGATGTGAGTTGCCAGTGTCCGTGCGTGGTTTTAGGTTTCCTGTAAGCCTGTAATTGTAATTGTCCATACAAGTGGCTTCTGCAGGTCTTCGGATGGTTGCTCGTGTTGAAGAACCTGTGGATCCTGTGACATACTACATAGATGCTTTTGGCATTGTCGGCTTCTGTGACAAGGCTGCTTTGCGGTACATAGGCTTTGAAGTCTTCAGCTGCATGAACCTCTAAACCCCAAATCCTTGACTCTTGACAGCTGTACTAGGAGGAGACTGCTGTGGATGACTTGCATGTCAATGTTTCCAGACGGCATGATTGTCTATTTCAGGTCCCTTTGAAGACTTGGGGCGCAAAACTCCTATGTTGCGTTTCGCGACTGTTTATCTGACTTCTACCACCGGAAAGACGATCGGCTGAAACGCCCAAATCCCCTTAACAACGCTACGCTAAAGCTTGAATGCTTGGACCCCTAGTCACAGTCCCTAAACCAGTAACCTGCCAAGGCTCGTGAAGTTGCGGACCAAGTCGAGCCGCTCCGAGGCAGAGATGTCCCAATGTCTGGAGAGCATCATTGGGTAGTGTTCCGGATTTGTTTTTTGGGCTGGGTGTGCGTGTGGTCATACATCCTTCAAGTGTAAGGCAGCAACGCGGTCAGGCTTTGGGATGCTAATTTCCGGAGAACAGCTGAGGTTGCACCTTTGCATTACCGGTGGAACCTATGCGGCTGAAACCTCCAGAGCTTGGAACCATGGATAACCCTCTGGCACAAGCCCTGTAAACCCCATAATGTTTGTATATATACCTTCACTGCCCCCATCAAGCCCTCTGGGGTCTAGAAAGCCCGCAGACACGAACCAAGATTAAGACTTTCTGGAGCCATAATCATATAGCTCATACAATATCTCCGAGAATCTTTTCGAACTGGCAATCTGCGAACCTGCAGCGCAGGCGCCTGACCTCAAACGCCTCCAGCTCAACCCCCTACGTACACCATAAGACTACACTGCCTGACAGGTACATGCTTAACAAATTATGCACGCCAAACCGCACCCCTAGTCCCTAACCCTAATGATCATAACGACCCCAACACCCTTAAACCCCCCAAACCTAAACCCTAAGCCCAAAACCCTAAGCCCAAAAATCCGAAAACCCCCAAACCCGAAAAGTCCGAGATATCCAAAACACGGCCTCCTCTCTTTGATCTCAGTGAAGAGCCAAGGTTTGATCAAGGCCCCACGGCCCACCATGACCTTTGGGCATGTATACTTAGAATATGGATTTGGGGTATATTCTAGTAGAAATAGCGAGGGGCTAGAAGGGGATATGACTACGCTTAGTAGACTGACTGTTAGAAGGGCTTGAAGGGGATATGACTATGCTTTCTTTTTAAGCAATTCATACTCCTTGGCTGATGATGCTTGATGGCATCTTTGGCCGTAGTACTTTCAGTTTGGATCTGCAGATAGTGCTTCAGACTACTAAAGCGTCACCAAGACGCAGGATGGCGGACTACCGAACCCCCAAAACCCTAAACCCTACCTGTAGTCACTGTTGTAGTTCCTTTCTTGGGTTATCGGACCTGTCTCAGGATCCTTAAAGTGCAATAACGTACTACAATGGCGACCCTATAGTCGAAGCTTCCGAGCACCCGAAAAGGAGCCCGAAGCCCAGAACCAATCCGAGAATAGGAGGTCTCGAGCTTAGGGTTTATTAGGGTTTCGGGATCCCTAAACCCTGAAACCATGCTAAGCCCCAAAACCCTGCAATGCTAACTCCCTAGAAGCTCTGAAATCCCAAACCGTTTGTACCTTTGTGACTTTGTGTTGCATTGAGCATTTCACCAAGCAGCTGAATCGACCCCATGTGTCTGGCAGTGCTGCTCCTTGGGCATTTCAGGGCGCAGGACTTTCGAGGTTTGGAGGCTCGAAAAAACAAGCTGAATACAGAACGAAGAAGGACTGCAGGAGGCTGTCGTGTCTCAGTGCCTTCCAAAGACCACTGACACTCTCGGCCCGAATTGAAACATTAAACCCTGAAGCCCTAAACGCCCGACCTAGCCCCCCGACCGAATCCAAGGCGCCAAACGCGATTGGCGACAGGCCACGGGTTTGAGGTTTAGCGGCTCAGGGTTTAAACTTTTGGTTTAGGGGGCTCAGGTGTTAAGGTGTGTTGCCTGGGCTGTCTGCGGACGGGTCCGGATAAGCCCCAGCAGCACCTTAACATCAACCATGGACGGTATTAGCCCCGTCAAGGGGCTAGCTTCAATGCATGATGTGTACACGCTTGTGGTTCCTACAGTGAATGCAAATGCACAGTCTGCAAACTTAGCCATCTTGTGTTCGGCACCGTGCTTCGCAGACTTATGTGATTGAGAAGCTTCTTGTAGACTAAGCACGTGCCATGCCCTTGAGAAAATCACCGAAGAACTAGTCAACAGCCCGTAACCTGTTGACTGTTAATCCTAGACTCAAGATCGATGTCTGACCCCCATGCCAAGACTGTACACACGAGACATTGACCTGCTCATGCAAGTTGAGTGGCAACCTCCTCCCAGTTCATGGCATCACCACAGCCGATGAAAGGGGTCGGGTTCTTCCTCCGCCCACCGCACTCCCCTTGGCGATGGCTCAATTCGGGGTTCAGGGTAATTAAGGATAAAACCAGCCCCTGTCCTCGAACATGGCATTCTAAAATAGAGGCCTTAATGCTCGTACTCAGAATTGGGATTTGTGTCAAAAAATGACAATAAGGAGCCCCAACGCATGGCCAGAGTCAGGAGGTGATCGGACTTGGTCAGACCCTGTGAAGCCCGCTAAATTCCTAAACCCTAAACCCAACCAGCCAGATCAACCCATCTTGGGGAACATAGTGCTCATGCTCTGGAAGACATCACCATTGATCATCACCATCTTCTTCTTCACACAAAACGATAGGGGTAGTTTTCTAAATTAGGGTCCCTTTTTAAGTCCACAACATAGTACGGCACCCTAATAAACAGGAACCCTAATGTAGAAAACTACCCATAATATGGCATAAGAAAGAAGGGGAAGCTTCTCTGGGTTGCACAGGCACTTCAAAGAGAAACGTGCGGATGAGCATCGGATGTAGTCCCAGTCGGCCAACTTCGTGTACCTGTGAGAGGCACGCTCGACTCCGGGCCTTAGGCCCTTAGGCTTTAGAGCCAATTTCGTGCATTTTCTTATTAGTACCGATCTTCGTGTTGTTCTTGCCATGATGATTATTAATTATTATTGCTAGCATTACTAATGATTGCTACTATAATCATGATTATTATGAATTTGTACCTGTGAAATGCAGAAATGCACGGAGTTCAGGGCTCAGGGAGTGCGCCAGTGCGCCAGGTGTCAGTTGAACATGCCCAACCCACGCACGATGCTGCAAGGAAATCTCAGGGGTATGGGGTTCAGGGTGAGGAAGTTCCTAGACCCTCCCATCATATCCCAAATACCCACTGTTAAGGACCAGAAGCTCTCTATGGGAGGGCCCTTGGGGGGTGCTGGTTGCATGAACCCTGAACCCTAACCCCCAAAAAACCTAAACCCAAACCCTAAACCCTAAACCCTAAAATCCAAACCCTAAACCCTAAACCCAAACCCTCAACCCTAAACCCAAAACCCAAACCCTAAACCCTAAAACCATGTTCAATGAGAGCTCAGCCCGTTCGGCCTGCTTCCCTAGGCTCCGTGCCAAGCTCAAACCTCATAACGACGGAGAAGCCCTAAACCCTTAAGCCCTAAACCCGACACCTCTAAACCCCGAAACCCTAAACCCCGAAGCCGAAACCCTTAAGCCCTAAACCCAAAAGCCCCAAACCCCTAAACCCCTAAACCCTAAACCCTAAACCCCTAAACCCCTAAACCCCTAAACCCCTGAACCCCTAAACCTGATCTTCTGAACCCTGACCCTCAAACCCTAGGAGCCGACCCTGGTGGAGGCTTCAACACGCCGCCTCTGCCGAGCTGTTCGTCCGTGGAGGACGAGCGCGCCTGAGCACAGCAAAACGCATTGGACTGCACCACAAAACTTTGGGTTGAGGCGTCTAGGGTTTAGGGTTTAGGGGTTAGGGAGTTTAGGAGTTTAGGGGTTTAGGGGTTTAGGGGTTTAGGGGGTTTAGAGGTTTAGGGGTCTAGGATTTAGGGGCTTAGGGGGTTTAGGGGTTTAGAGGTTTAGGGGTTTCGGGGTTTAGGGATTTAGGGTTAGGGTTTGAAGGTTTAGTTAGGGTTTCAGGGTTTTTAGGGTTTAGGGTTTCGGAGTTGGGGGTAACCGGCAACTTGCCCAGGATAAAGATCTTAACATCCTCAGAACCGTAAGTATTCACGCTCCAAGAGCACGTACTTCGGGGTTTGGGGGGGCAGCGGCTGCACAACTTGAACCCCAAACTCTGACCTTTACCAGAAACCCCCAACCCTAAACCCCGAAAGTTCCGAAAATCTTAAGCCTAAACCCTGGACCCTAAAGGAACCGAGCTGGCCCCTCCTGCTTTGCCCCACTCTGCCCTCCACGCCCTCCGATTCACGACTCGCGGCTCACACCCCAGCTCTCCAACTTCGGAACAAGGTTGTGGGCGTACCGTCCATTGAAGTCCTTGTTCTTGTTGTCCTCACGGTTTCGGGTCCAGGCTTTCAGGCGTAGGGCTTCGGGCTTAGGGCTGGGAGGTCAAAACGGAGGGAGAAAAACCACATACCCGGTTGTCACGTTATATAATTACAACAATTACAACTGATATCCGGCAACATACCGAGCCATTGAAAGCACGACACCCTGAACCCCCAAACCACAAATCCCAATTAAACTCGGAAGCCCTAAACTCCTCACCCTATGCGACAAATCCGAAGTACACCTTATATCCCTTAAACTCCTAAACCCTAAACCACAAATCCTAATTTACCGGCAGGGCCCTAAACCCTCAAAAGCCTTTCATAGCAAAGGCTTCTAGTTTTCAAGCGAAGCGGGGACTGGTTAACCTCAAGATCTTTTGGCTTACAACTTAGGCTTTACCTGGACCCTGAGGAACCTACCTGCTTTTTGAAGGACTTATTATTATTAGTATATAAAGAAAACATAATACGGAACCCTAAAAAGGCAGGCTCTTTGGGATCCGGGCACCTAAGGCCTTGAGGTGTGTGGGGTTTAAGGTGTAGGGCTTAGGGCCTCTTCTCTAAAGCTTTTAGAACCACTCTGCCCATTCTGCTCAGTGTTTAGGGTTTAGGATTGTGCAGGGTTCATAAACCCTAAACCCTAATTCTCAGCGTCCTCCATATGCGCAGTTCGCATCTTCAAGGTCAGAGCTTTGGTCTTCAAGACGCCCGACATACCTTGCACCCTAAACCCTATAAGCTCTAAATTTTTAAGCTCTCAGCCATAAACTCTACTCCCAAGCCCTATAACTACAAACCCTAAACCGATTGGATGGTGAGCGGCTCGGCTGCAACATGTAATATTTTCTTACTGAAGCGAGAAATCTGCAACGGTGTAAAAGTCTGAAGCCCTGCAACAACGGCTTCGTCCCAATCTGACCACGGTTCAGGGCTTAGGGTTTAGGGTTTAGGTTTATTGTCTGCGATTGTCGAAAACGCTGGCACTGCTGATCATGAGCAAGGGAAAAATACATGACGATGCGACAAGTGACCATGGCTATACCCACCCTGCTTAAATGATTCGGATGAAAACGAAGAGGAACAACCCTGCGCCAAACCCAAGCCCCGAACACCTAAACCTCACAATCCCAAAGCCCTTGGCCCTAGACCCTAAAGAATCCTCCAAAATATAACCTCAAAATTCCAAAGCCCCTGGCACTAGACCCTGAAGAACCCTCCAAAATATTCCCAAGGCACAGCGCACGATGCCCTCCAAGTGGGCTGCCTTGGCCATCAGCCGGGAGCCGGCGCCGCGGCGATGCACCTTAAAGCCCCAACCCTGAGCCCTAACAACCCTGAACCCTAAACCCAAATCATAACCCCTACAACCCAAACGTTACAGAGAATCGTCAAGGGAACGGCTGAGGGGCTGTAGAGCTTTCGGGCTTAGCTTTCGAGCTGTCGAAATTTAGGGGTTTAGGGGTTAGGGCTTAGAGGTTCAAGGGTTCAGGATTTAGGGGAACTATAGAGAGTTTAGGGGTTTAGGGCTTTTAAGTTTTTTGCATTCAGGTTTGAAGGGTTTTGGGTTCAGGGCTTAAGGTTTTGGGCTTGGGAGTCTCAGGCTTTTGGCAATTGGCAAGCTTCGGGTTTTGGATGTGGAAACTGGTGGTTTCTGCCTGAGACGGTATGGAGGGTGAAGACTGTCTGAGACTGGCGTCTTCAATTTCACAGGTTCTGGCGTCGAGCGTTGCTTGGCCTCGGGTCTCAATGATTAGGTGTTGCCGACCTCCGCGGTTGATTGGGTTTCGAGTTCGGCGGGCATGCAGAGCTGATAGCCTAAAATCCCCAAAGCCCAAAAGCAGAGGGAACAACCGACATCCTCAATGCTTAACTGCCTGAGCCTTAACCTCACCCCGAAAATTTTCAATCGCGAACCGGAACACCCCTAAAACTCCCTAAACCCTGAATCCTAGCGCATTGAGTCTCCCCAGCGCCTCGTCCAACGGACAGCCGCAGTTGATGTCCACGAAGTCGCAGTCAACGTTCTCCTTTCCGGCCATGGGAGGACTGTTTGGGAGTCTCAGAAAACAAAAAACACGAGCGAAATGAAACATGAATTTCAGACGGGCCTCCAAGTTTGGCGTTTAGAAGCATCAAGACATCTAGGTGTTGGGATGTCACGGCTGGAACAATCAAAGGAAGGATCATGACCAGCTGGTGCGTATGCTAGCTTTACGCTCCACAAATTGCAAAACTGTTCGTTTCCGTTCTTCTGAACTGTCTTTCTGTCGCTCGTAAATACTCTTTGGGTGTACTTCTTCAGAGTTCTCGCGCAGGGCAAAGGCGGGGTTCACCCTTAACAAGCACGAACGCCTAATGAAAGGGGCTAATGATTTAGAATAGGTTTGCGGGGTCCCCCCCCCCCCAGCCCTTAAACGGGTGAAACTACCATCAGCACATCGTCGATGGAGGTCACGAATCATGAACATCGCCAGGCCACCCCGCCCCGAACTTGTGTATTGTTGACCTACGATGTAGACGATGCCCTGTCTCATACCTGGACCTTGCTTGGTCTCAGGTCAGTAACAGCTTTGAAGCTCTTGTTCAGCCTAGGTCCGCGAGTGGAACTTCAAGGGACCTACTGTACTACTAGAAGAAGCCCAGCATCTGCGGGAAATCCCAAGACAGACTATAGGTTTCCCTTCCAAGTATCTCTTAAACAAGGATTCGCTATTTGCTACAGAAAATCTGCCTTCAAGGGACGCAGACGAAGAAAGGCAAACAGAAGCCAACGCGGTCGAGAGACATCGATGAACTGCGCACACTTGGTCATCATCTCCACATCGCCCCCGGCCACCTGCCAATGGTTCCCTGCCGAAAGACCCATAAATCCAACACCCAATGAGTCGCAGACCCTAGGTCCCCCAAACCCTACAAGGTTTAGGGTTTAGGGTTTAGGGTTTAGGGTTTAGGGCTATTGTAGGAGCCTTAACAGAGCAGGGCTTAGGCTTGGGGGATTTATAAGCAGCCATCCTAAGGCCAGGCCGGTAGTCCAAGCTTCTATACTACCTCCCAGACCCTGATCCGAAATCCTTGAAGCCCCCATCTGCGATGCTAGAAACAAACCTTATAAATCCTAAACCCTAAACCCTAAACCCTAAACCCTAAACCCCACAGGATGAAGCTATAGGAACGAATCTCGACTGAGGGAAGATAGAAGTTGGCATACCTCGCTTGCACCCAAAGCTGTTTCCTTCGGGGTTCAGTGCCACTGGACTGGACCAGTGTTTATGCCAGTAGCTCTCTTTTGTCCTCGAGACCTTCGACAGCAGTCAGAGCATTCTTTGGGGGGATAAGAGTTGTTGATATATAGCGGCCTCATGATCATGCGAAGTGGTTGTTGGGGCAAGGTATATTTCAATACAATTGGGACTCGAAGGGGATGTTGTCAGTCATTCGAAACCCTGTGGCCCTTTTTAGTAAAGTCAAGATCGCCTAAGCCCTGCAAGGTCGGCCTGCACTCCGAAGCACTTCTCTGACTCGTGCCGTCTGAGAAGTGCCAACTCACTCTGATAACCGTCCACGACCTTTGTTGCAGCTGAGAGCACGCTTGGGAAGGGCTCTTGGGAACACTTTTGGGGATCTGCGTGAGCTGGGGAACGTGGCGGTTGCAAGTGAGCACTGGCTGCCTCGCAGCTGCAAAAGGATCCCAGTTGGGCTGCATGTGGCTTTGATCATGTTGCTCTCTATCCAGCAGGCCTGGAAGTGTTATCCGTCGCGCCACGATGATTCGGTTGGCTGGTCGTGGTTGGCATTCTTGGGGATACCGGATTGGCCACACGCAATTGCGAATTCACCTCGAAACCTTAATCAGCTTCACAACTCCGAATCTGAAGCCGTTGTCCTCACGGGTTCCCTCCAGCGCAACCCAGACGCGGAATAGGCCAGCGCCATCTCTCCCACTGTCACGTCGCCTCGGAGGTCACGGAAATATCGTCTCTTCCATGTCTGGCGTGAGAGATGTCTTCTCGAAGGAGGCGAAACGGCAGCCGGAGGAGGTTAATGTTGTTGTTGTTGTTGTTGTTGTTGTTGCTACTGTTGGTGTTGCTGCAGTAGGAGTAGCTAGAGGAGGAGCGCTATGTAAAAAAACGATAATATCAAGTGCGGGTCGGATCACCAAGTGGCCCGAAGCCCTAAACAGCCCTACAACCTAAACCCACCGGGAAAACGGGCTTATGGACAAACCTACACCTTAGGGATCCCAAGCCCAGCAAGCCTAGCCCCACAAAAGGTCCCTCGGCTGCGGCGGGGCCGCATCCGAGATTGACGCAAAGGCGGCGGAAGGGCAGGTTGCCTCCGGGCTGGAAGAGCTCGGGGTAAAGGGCTCAGGGAGTTGTTGGGGTTTCCGGATGTAGCGAGTGCAAGGCTTATGAAGGGTATATGAGAATTAGGTTTCGTTCTAAGCTTCTCGTCTAGCCATGTGAACTTCAACTCTGACAAGTTGTGATTTGAAGCGCTTTATGTGGAAGGCTTGGGAAGTATGCAGCTGCAAATCTTTAGGTGTCGTCTTGTCGGTGGTTCCAAACTTTGTCAGGCCCTGTGAAAGCCTTTTTTGAGGATTTAGGGCAGGCGGTACTCGCATGTGTGCGGGTGATAAAGAGGCAAGTCTGGGTAGAGTTGGATGGATGCCCTCCCTACGGGTCTCCTTCTGTATCACCAAGCGGGCTAACCTTTGACCTGCAGGGCCCTTTAAAGAGGCCCTATAATAATGTCCTACAAGTCATCTGCTCAAACATCTCCGCTCTGCCAGTCGCCTACGGTTGTCAGCGGTGCCAGATAGCTCTTCCCTGCCAGATCGACGCGCTTCCGCTCAGCCTGGACAGGATTGGAAGCGAGCACCAGGTTCAGGGCTGTGAGATTGGGGCTTTTATAGGGTTTAGTACGAAAAAGCTGGAGGGCTGCGAGATTAAATCCTGACCTAGAGGCTCATACCTGTATAAGAGATGTACAAAAATTGGTCGGGTACGAGCTATAGGTATAAACCTAAAACCTGCAAACCCTTCCAAATTCAAAACTCTAAACCCGAAGGCGAAAGCCCTGAACTTAAGCTTGGAAACCGTGATTTAAAACCCCAAGGTAGCAGCGAAGCAGCCCCAAAACTTGAACGCCGTGAAGGAGCCCTGAAAACCCTGAAGGAGCCCTGGAAAAGCTGTTTTTTGTATGGGGCTTTGGGGGGACCATATCCATGCATACATATATATATATATATATATACACGTGTATATACGCACACATGCATACATACACACGCGTGCATGCATGCATGCATGC